TCTTTCCCAGCCGCTAGACCTAGACATCGAGCCCGAGGGTGATGCCGAAAGCGAAAACGAGGACGAGCAAGCAATGTCTTTGTACACATCTTTGAACCACTTGGCAGCTGCATCCAGCATGCCGACACGGCCCCTCAATCCCCTCTCTTTCTCCATGCCCGGCGTTCCTACGCTCCTTGAGTTTCAGGGTATCGACGGGAAGTATGCACCTGTGAACATGCGTCAGTCCGATGCCATGACTCGTTTCGAATTCAAGCCCATCGATTCTTTCTCCAGCGCGTCCGTCACCGAAAATAGGCAGCGCTCAAACTTCCGCTCAAACGAGCGCGCTAAAGCATCTTTGCGAAGAATTAAAGATCGGAGAAATCAGAAACTGATCAAGAAAACGTACAACAACATGCTGAGAATTCCTTCCATCGAGACAAATTTCAATGGCCAGCCACCTGCCTCCCCGGACCTTTTCACGTCTCCAGGACTCTCGAAGGATAAGACAGCATACTATTGTCCGCGCAGCCAGGAAAGCCCATCTAAGGCAGCTTCGAAGTTGTCAGCCAGTCCACAAAAAGAGATCAAGTCGAATTTATCAAGCTTTTCTATGAGAAGTGACGACACAAAGAGCATCAAACAATTCGTGCAACTCACTAAAAGTGAGAATGCTTCTCTGACAAATGTGTTAATGAACTCAAGTGATTCCAACATCATCGACTTAAACACTTGCCCACCGGAACTCTCGGTCAGCTCTATGTTCGATCAAAAGTTGAGGCACATGATCAAGCAGTGTTTGGAGGATTGCGACATCAAGGACCACGCAGACCAGAGTCGCTGGACACAAGTCTTGCTGAGCACTTTTTCGCACATCAATCAAATTAAAGTCAACGATACATTGGATGTGAAACAATACATCAAGATCAAAAAAATACTAGGGGGAAAACCGGAAGACACCTCTGTTTTGGATGGGCTATTTATCACCAAGGATATTGACTCGAAAAGAATGAAGTCTTCAATTAAAAGCCCAAAAATTGCTCTTCTTGTATTTCCACTAGAGTATCTTAAACAAAAAGAGCAGTTTATTAGTTTGAGAGTTGTTAACTCTCAACAATCTGTTTATATCTCGAATTTAGTGTCACGACTTATATCTTTGGAGCCAGATATTGTTCTTGTTGGTGATACTGTTTGTGGTTTGGCTGAGAAGCTTTTGGAAGAGGCAAATATCACGGTTATTTCTAACGTGAAACCACAAGTCATTGAAAGAATCTCACGGTACACAAAAGCTGACATATTGCAGTCAGTCAATGACCTATTCTTTAAAAAAGGATCCTTGGGTGTTTGTGGCCGGTTCGAGATTAAAAAATTTTTACATGGACAATTTGTGAAGACCTACGCCTTTTTTGTAGGTAACAATGTCCAATCTGGGTTTACAATTTGTTTAAGAGGTGGAGACGAAGAATATTTGAGCAGCGTGAAGTACGCAACTGAATCTTTGATACCCGGAGCGTTCAATTCAAGATTTGAACAAAGCTTTTTTCGTGACTTCTCGCTAATCATTGATGTTCCTCGCGATCACGATGAATTTGGATTACAAGTGCTCGACAGACTGATGCAAACTGAGACTGAAGATCCCAACGATCTCAAAAATATCTGCATCAGCTCTATGGAACAATATGGGGTTCTCAGCTATATCAAGTTATTCAGCGAAAGAATCTTGAGTTTCTCGCCTGCTGTCTCATATCCGCTCCCTAAAGCCTTAAAAGATGTCGTAAGTTCTTTCACCCTTTTCACACGATACTATGAGCTCAACAAGGTTATCCAGAATTTGTCTGAAAATGACGATATTGATGCGATGTGGTTGCACATGCTACAGTTTGACTTCAACTTTGAAAAATTCAATGGAAAGAGAGACATTTTGACATACTTGAAATTTGTAAGTGCAGAATGGTTGTATTTCCATCAAAGAGAATTTAATTTTCGGATCAGAATATGGTCAAACAGCATGAAATACTCGATATATCAGCTCTACCCTATCTTTCACAGAAGCATTCATTTTTTACACTCCAGAATATCCATCAAACATGCAACCCCCTGTTATGGACCTGTTGTTGTTGTTGTTGACTTTTATTCAGATAACGACAAATGTCTCGGTGTTTTCCTCGACCAAACGTTACAAGAGACTGGAAAGACTTGTGATGAATGTGGGGATCTCCTATTGAACCACTACAAGACTTATGTTCATGGTAACTTCAAAATCGATTTGGTTGTTGAGAAAATAAGTGATGTGCAAACTTTGGAACAATTTACGGATAAAAACAGAAGAATAATGTGGAGCTATTGTCCTGAATGCCATCTTTCTTCTCCCATATCTTCAATGAGCGATGAAACATATTATTTATCGCTTGGAAAGTTTTTTGAGCTAAATTTTTGTTCACGGCACACCAGACAAGACAAACAATGTGAACATGACTTTTTCACAAGTCAGGTGAAATACTTCGGGTTTAATGGATATTTCATTAGATTTGAAATCTCACATATTCTGACGTACGAAGTTGTGGTTCCTCGAAAAAAACTTGAATTTCTTGCTACTTTGAGTTTGGAACTGAAACTAGACTCCCTTAAAACTATACAGTTAAGCTCTTCCAAATTCTTCAAGAGTCTCACGAATCGTCTCAATAGAATCAAAGTTGATACTTTTGATCGGGCGGAAGCCGGTCACAAAAAACTCGAAGAGCTTAAAATTAGAGTTAAGGAGGAAGAATCTGTTATCGATGCCAAAACACTCAAAATCTACGAGACCACAGCCCCCACCAACTATATGTCTCTAAACGTAATCCAGCAAGAGATCCAAGAATTGGGTGTATCCTGGGACCAAGAGTTTAATGACTTTGAGAAAAATTTCCTTCCAACTGAAAACGAAATCACCAAAATTACACAATTTCATCTAAGGAACTTTTTGATGGACAGATTAGATACAGAGATGAAAGAAGAACTGATATGCCTTGAAAGTGAGAATGCAAAAACCTGCAACAGCACAATTGAAACCAAGAGTTTGTCAGGAGATCTTTCGCATCTGCGTCTGGCAAATGAGCAAAAGCATACAAGTGACGACCTTTTCTCCATTGGTTCGCGAAGAGTACCTCTGACTGTTATCGAAGACAAGATTTTGCAAATACGACAGTCTCTTGAAGATGATCAAAACAGGCATATCTTAAAGTCGCCCACAAAGTCGAAAGCAGAACATGAATTTGACCTTGCTCTGACGGAGTCTTCAGGTCACCATGGCCCAACCCGAGTCCAGGACTTGACTAACTATTTCAATCAGATGACTTTGGAATTCCAAAAGCAAAGAGAAGCTGTTCTTGAACATCAGTTGAGCAAGTACAAGGCAATCCCCATTGTGAATTCGCAGCCAATTGTCGAAATTTACGACAATATAGAGGATGTTGTCGATGTTGATCGCAAGCTTTCTGGTGCTCCAAAAGCGTCCCTTGGTTCTGAAACAAAAAATGGCTTTGACGGGTACAAGTCAAAAATGCAATCGGATGTTCCTGAACTGGATGCGTATATGGATTCACATCAAAGAAAATCACAATCTTCATCTAGTGATCCAGCAAAAAGCACCAAGGAGACCCCGAAGCAAAAAATAGACATCCCCCAACCAGAGAAAAACTCTTTGCTAAAATCTCTCTCAAACTTCTGGGCCGACAGGTCAGCAACCCTTTGGGATCCCTTGGAGTATCCTTTGGACTTTACTGAACACACGTTTGCGGATTCTGAGGTTATAGTTCGTGAGGACGAACCTAGTTCTTTAGTTGCGTTTTGTTTATCTACGAGTGATTACAAACAAAAGCTTGCGGGAGTCGACCCAAATGAATCAGTGCTGTCGGAAAACAAAGAGACCGAAATCTTGGAGACCAGCGAACAATTCAAGAAGAAGAGTGAGCATTTTTCCAAGCTCGAAAGAAAGTTTAAGAAAAGAACTGATCAAAGTAAAACCGAGACAAGCGAACTAGAGATCGTTTTGAATCAGACTAAGTCAAGCCACTTGAAATATCAATTTGTTGATGGAAGCACGGAAATGTCTTGCAAGATTTTTTACAGCGAACAGTTCGATGCACTTAGGAAAGCTTGTGGGGTTGATGACTCATTCATACAGAGTTTGTCCAGATGCGTGAAATGGAATTCTACTGGCGGCAAAAGTGGGTCCAATTTTCTCAAAACTCTCGACAACCGATACATTGTCAAAGAATTATCAAAATCTGAACTAGAGTCGTTTGTTTCCATCGCACCGTTTTACTTCAAGTATATCTCGCAGTCAACCTTCAACACCTTGACAACAGCTCTTGCCAAAATCTTTGGATTTTATCAAGTTGAGTTCAAAAATTCCATGAACGGGAAAACCTTCAGAATGGACTTCTTGATTATGGAAAATTTGTTTTACAACAGAAAAACCACGAGAATTTTCGACTTGAAAGGGTCCATGAGGAATCGGCACGTGCAACAAACAGGTAAAGAGAATGAGGTTTTACTCGATGAAAACATGATTGAGTATATTTACGAGAGCCCTGTGTTTGTCAAAGAGCAGCTGAAGAAACTTCTACGCGGCTCGCTATTCAATGATACGTCATTCCTTTCAGCTATGGATGTCATGGACTACTCTCTTGTTATTGGCATCGACGATATTTCCGGGAAGTTATACGTGGGAATCATTGACTGGTTACGTACATTCACATGGGATAAGAAAGTTGAGAATTGGGTGAAAGGGAAGAGTTTGGTAGGCAAGAAAGGCAAAGATCCCACGATTGTCACCCCCAAGCAATACCGTACCCGATTCAGGGAGGCTATGGATAGATATATATTGGAAGTCCCCGATATCTGGTACGAGGGGTCTAGTTGATGAGCACGGAAAACTTGAGAAAAGCGACATTGGTCTGTGGTTTCGCAAAAGAAGATTATTTCACAGGCTTGCCCTGCCGTATTCACGTTGATCTGGTAATCTTCGCTGGGACTTCGTTCTACGCGTCTTTTGATCCGAATGCAAGCCTTCAAGCCAATCGCGCGAAGGATACGCAATATGCCGGTTTATTTGTGGCACACCACAGTACATTGAGACGACATGCGGCTATATCCGCGCTGTCTTATCACCGGCGCGTCTGCGGCCGTCTCCTATTCTGAAACCGACAAGATGAAACAAAAGAAGCCAGCAGACAAATTCGCACATTGCTGATACAAACAGTGCTCCGAATTTAGGTACACCAGAAACAAGACAAGTCAGCTCAGCGGTCATTTCTGTGTACCGGAAGCACCAAGGTTCCTTGTATACACGTGAAGAAAAGAAAAAGAAAAAGAGAAAGCGAATACGAACCCCTATTTTTTTATCACGCCAATTGATCGTGCGGCTCACGCCGAGCCTGGGCGTCGCGTACGAGGCTGTGATGTAGCTGTGCGCGCGCTGCATCTCCCACCCCACGCCTATGTTTAACAGTTTGGGTGAGTTTCTATTACACAGGTGAGTTTGCTCTGTTCCATAATCTACACTGCGAATTCTCATCGTACATTTTTGGAGCGCTCCCTTTTTCACGGAATAACATTACTTTCTTCCCGCATTGGTCCAAAACCATCTACAAAACTTTGATCTGTCAGAGCACCGGGCGCTGACCGTTTCTGCCCCATTAAAGTAAAGGAATCTTCCCGCTGGGTGCATAATCCCACCTGTCTCCCAAATACCAAAGCCCTGCCGCTAGACAACCGTGGGCTTGATTCAAGATTGTTTCATTGATATTTTCCTGATTGAACCGCGCCACACTCAAAGATGAGACACGCGATTCTCACCTCGATCTCCTCGTTCCTCCTCGCAGTGGCATTAGCATTTTTGATTTTGTCCAACGTGTCTACGCCCGTGTCGTCGGGATTACATTTGGCCGCTTCCCTGTCGTATACATACGGCATTTTTGGATATTGCGACGGCGATCTGTGTCCTTCGGCAGCCTACCCGGTACTGTTTGGCGATGTCGACACCGACTCGTCGTGGTTTTTCGGCTCCGCTACCCGAAACACGTTGTCCAAGACGTTTATCGTTGCGCCCATTGCCGCGGGTTTCACATTCCTAGCGTTTGTGTTCACATTCCTTTCGTTGTTCGTGCATGCAAGCGCCCTCAAAATCCTCTCCCTCGTGTTTTCAGTGGTAGCGCTTGTATCCTCGGCACTTATTGCAGTGATGGCAGTGCTTGTATTCCACCCTCATGTCGAGTGGGTTGGATGGCTTCTCGTTGCCGCTGCCGGGTGTTGTTTGGTGGCAGCACCGCTTCTTTTCCTTTCCATCGGCGTACGTGAAGACCACGACGCCGATTCCGACGTGGACCAGTATGCGGGCCATACTTTTGGCGACATCTCCAACATGGACCCCCCTGGCAGGTATTCTGCGGGCTCTTTGAACGACATAAAGGAAAACTCATACGGCTATGCGGTGGATCCTCTGGGAAGCTCCAAGGAATTCAGCTACCGTGGCCCCAACACGAATGAGTATCCGGCCGACCGGACCGACTCGCTGAACAAGAGCTTGTTGGAGGCATTGCCCAAAACTGCCAATGATGTCACCAAGCCACGCCCCTATATGGCCAACGGGCCGGGCGCCAGCATCAACTCTTTCCAGAACAACGCCCACTTGGGCACGAACGCCCAGGGGCCCGGCTCGAGTGCCAATTCGCTCCAGCAAAACGCCTACTCCAGCTTGAACATCCAAAGCGGGCCCAGCACGCCCATCGCCTCAAAGAGGCAATTGGCGCCAAATGTCGTGCCGAGCGAGGGCATGACCTACAACATCGAGCAGCCCGGCGTAATGCCGCCGTACCCCCAGAAAGACCATGCGCCTTCGATATACAGCCTGCACAACTACGGAGTGTTTGACCATCACCCCACTGTCGAGGGCCACCGGCCATTCACAGAGGCACAGGATGTGGACGAAGCTGCAGAGCGGGCCTCTGTCACACTGGAGATCCACGCGGACTCGGACAATGAGTCGGACTTCACGAGTGTTTCGCAAAGACCGCCGAACGAAAGCTATGTGGTGCCGCGGGTCTCACCCCAACGCATGCAGCAGCAAAGCTACCAACAAGGCATGCCGCCACAGGCGTTCCAAGTTCCACAGGGCCAGCTTCCTGCGAGGCCGCAGAATCAATATGCCAGCCATGTGCCGCCCCAGCCGGGCCCAGGCCAAAGTTACGCGCCGCGAGCGCAAGGCCCAGGGTATGGGCAGCCGGGCCAAAGCTACGCGCAGCCGGGCCAAAACTTTGGGCAGCCGCAGATGCAAGCCGCGGCACCGCGCCCGGTGACCCGGGCCACGATTTCCGACAATGCTTTGAGCAATAACCCCGATTTTGCTATTGGGTTTTCCGGCCGGAAGAAGCAGGTTGGGCGGCCAGGATACGGTGCGCCGAGACCCGGAGCGGCGTTCACGCCGAGAACAGGCCAGCGGGACGGGCCTTACGGAAACATCTAGAGACTCTGAGCAATGGCATGACGCGCAGTGAAGTATCGTATATTTGCGTTTGTAACAAGCGAGAAGTGTGGCCTTGGCTCTTTCGGACACCGTTCAACGGCGATCATGGCGCAGGAGCCCCGGCCTGTTTGGTGGGCCTGGATTGCGGGCCACTCTGGCCAGGCGTGCCGGCCCCCAGGCTAGGCTTCTCGACCACGGTGGTCTTTCGCGAGGGCCGAATCATCACCACCATGAACAACGCTAGCACCACGAGGCAGAGCAAGAAGATGATCTTGCACTTGGTGGTGCGTTTCTGGTGGCCCTGCGCACGTACCAACTCCTTGTCGGAGGCGCGGAGGTCCTCGGCCGTGCGGCCGATGTTGTAGTCGATGCGGTCCAACATGCTGCCCTGGTCCACGACAAGATTCTCCATCTCCTTGAAAATGGTGGAGATCTCGAGGATGCCCATGGCCAACTTGGAGATTTCGCGCTCGCGGGACGCCATGAGCTGCGAGTTCGGGTCCTGCTGTATCTGCTGCTGCGCCTGGCGCAACGCCTGGCGGGAGTAGTCTTCAATATCACGCGAGTCCTCTTCTTCAAGCGGGATGTGCTGGGAGGCCGACGACAGCAAGAGGTTGTGCGAGTCGTCGTCGTCGTCGTCGTCCTTGAGGAACTTGATGTAGTTGTTTTGCAAGTTGCGGAACACAAGCAGCGAGTCCTGGATCTTGAGCGCATACGTCTTCTTGTAGTTCTCGAGAATGGAAAGCTCGTCCGCGCTGTAGGCGAGGCGGAGCCGCACGTGGTTTTTCTGGATGAACTCAAACTTCTTGATGAGCACGTAGCACGCCTCGAACATGCGTGTGATGTTGTAGTTGAGCCCGTCGATGCCATCCTCGAGGGGCTTTTTCTCGGAGTCGCGTGTGATCAAGAGCTTCTTGTAAAGCAGGCTGAGCTCCGTGGTCTTCTGCCGGATGGCCGCGAGATTGGTATCTAGCAGGCTGGAGATCTCGAAGATCGAAGGCGCAAGTGGCCGCATCTCGATTTCGTTGGGGCGGCTGGCGTCGTCGCGGTACGAGTTTAGATTGCGGGGCCCATTCATGGATCTGCGGGCCGACATGAGGCTCTCCTCCTCCTCGGCCAATGACACCGTGCGGCGGGCGCCGGGCGCTTCTAGCCGCGGCACGGTCCGGCGGTACGAGAGGAAAAGATTGGTTCTGTCGCGGAACATGGTGTGGGTGAATGGCGGAAGTATAAAGAAAGCTGTATGGATTTTGGGATCTTTGTTGGCGCGGTGCCACGGCGCCAGGCCGGGGAGATTTCGCTGTGGTTTTAGGGCCTGGGTTTGGGCGCGCGCCGCGCCAGGCCCTGGGGCCGGGGCCATCCGATTCTGGCTCACGGTCTTATTCTGGGCCACGGGGAGGGGGGAGCCAGAGATGGTAGGGATGTGTTTGTTTTGGTGCTGGGGGGAGGGTTTGAGTTTTTGGGGTGCTTTTTATTGAGCGAATGTGGAGATTATTGGGGGACATTAGTTATTGTTCTGGGAGGATGGGACTGGGAGTGCGGCTGGAGAGTGGGCTGGAAGTGGGCCTGGAAGTGGACCGGAAAGTGGGCTGGAAGTGGGCTGAAATTGGGCGAGAGCAGCGATTCTTCGTGTTTGCTTTTTTAATGAGTCATTTCTGCGCTACTTCATTAGCATTGCTTTTATGCTGGAAAGCAAAGACGGGTGACGCCCCGGAAAAAGACGTGTTGCTGATATCTTCCTTCTCATGCGGCTCGGTATATATACCGTTTCAGCTAGCCCACTCGAACATCGAAGGCATTGCCATGTGATCAACGGCACAGAAAAAACCAGAGTTTTCTTTTTTGCCTTGGAATCTGTAACTGCCTGGGAAATGGTGTATGTGCAAGAGTACTTATGGAACCAGCTACGTGGCTCCGTCAGCTCGAGAATGGATCATCAATAATTGTTCGCACGCAAGCGGACCAGAATCTTTCGGCCCGGCATTCCAAGTATTCAAGGTTGGCTCAACATCGACACTCATATCCGTGATATGTTCAAACTCGACACTCACAAGCAAAACTCAACATTAATCGTAGCTTTTCAATGTACGGCTGCTGCAACAGTGGCGGCGGATGTCTGGAAATTTTGCACCCATTCAGCTCGCATCAGAGTAGAAGATGGAACGCGGTGCAGAACTTCGATGCATCCAGCTGTTGATCTGTGTTTCTTTGTGGGACCCTTCTACCTTGCATACTTGAGGGTGCTCTTGTAATTCGGCTTCAAAGTTGTTCCTAGTTCTTGCAATGGCCTTTGGAGTGTATCCTGTGGGGGCCATAGTCCTCTTAATTTACGCCCAATCACTAGCCACAGGTCGTCTTCCTCAGAACGTTTCTGGTCAGACCCAATACGGCAATTGGAGCCTGCAACAAATTGCTTGCGATTGGAATGAGGGATCAGAAATTAAGTTACAGAAATCTTATAGAAAGAATGAATAATATCCATTCGGCCGCCGAAATGTTGTTACTTCACTGTATGTTTCGCAAAGCGCATTGCACGTGTTCTCTAGCTGTGGGCTTGACTTGAACATTCGTACGATGCTCGAAAAGAAGCCATAAGACCAGATGCGAGGTACTCTGATTGGCCTCATAGGCTGGTCTTCACATCTCTGAGCCTCAATGCACAAGGGCAAAACCTTCATCGCCCAACATTAATATGTGCGGCTAAGCAAGTTTGTTAGTGCTGGTCAACAATGCTCATGCTTCCAATGAATTTCCATTGGTTCACGTACACCTCTGGGGGACTGAAGTGAGTCATCCTTTTAAACTCATAAAAATGTAGTCTAATACAGACTCACGCAAAGCCACAACATGTTTGCCTGTACTACCCAGACAATGGACAGTCAGGTTACCGAAAATAGATATTGAGCCGTGTGTTGTCTTTCTATTGTCAGAACACGCATAAAAAGGGTCACCTCTCTTTTCGCAGCAATATTTACAATCTTAAGTATATGACAATAAGACTGTGCTAGTTCCTGCTGCAAGGTATCGTTTCCCAGAACTTGCTGCGAAAACTTGACTCTAAGCATGGTCTCGAATGTCAAAGACAGTCTACTTCAAGAGACAATCCAATCAATGACCGAGAGAGCGACTACGTCACTATTGCTGGGATATCTCGGCTTTGTTTCAGTCCAGAGCGACTGCAAGATATTGGGAACGGTATTTTGTAAATAAAGCAAAGCGCAGGGAAGCCCAGGAGTTTGATTCGAAAGTCAAAGAACTAATTACATGCGACAGTCGCCGGGCGTATTATTACATTCATGGTCTCATTATGAAATGAAGGCGTAGTCAAGAGGACGAAAGTACAATGGAATGAAATACATTTTATAATTTTTATCAGTGATAATCACACCAAACCATAGGAGGCAGTAATACGAAACCGCCCCCTACACCGCTACTCCATAGTTCTGGAAATACATGAGTCAGGTTTCGCAGTAAAGCAAGGGGAGATGAACACCCGGGTGCAAATTCACCAGACACCCCCTCGGGAAAAGTGCAGAACATGGAGTCGGGATTTTAGAGAACTTGTGCTGGCAAGGCCCTAGCAGGACCTTAACTTAACAAACCAATTCCCGACTCAAGCCCACAAAGCGGACTGGGGCACTACCAGACTTCATGATACCATTGAGGCCAGAGGAGGCACTCTGCACAATGGTGTACTTCCAAACATTCCTCATGAAACCCCGCCAAAATACAGTTCCATAAATTACTCTTAAGCACGGTTTACATGAGTCTCCTCGCGAGGCCCAGTTGAAAGACTATTTAGGACGCTTCTCTAGACCACTGTTCCGTAACACGTCTCTAAAAAAACTATTTCATAACACTTCTTCAGAACACTATCCCATACCGGACGATTGTTCCAAAGCGCTTCTCTAGAACACTGTTCCAAAGCGCTTTTCTAGAACACTGTTTCAAAACGCTTCTCTGGAACACTGTTACAAAACGCTTCTCTAGAACACTATCTTAGACTGGAACACTGTTCGATAACACTTCTCTAGAACACTATCCCATACTGGAACACTGTTTCATAACACTTCTCTAAAAAGCTAATTCATTAAACTTCTCTGGAACACTGTTCCACAACGCTTCTGTAGAACACTGTTCCAGAACACTTCTCTAAAAAATTATTTCATAACACTTCTCTAGAACACTGTTCCAAAACGCTTCTCTAGAACACTGTTCCATAACACTTCTCTAAATAACTATTTCATAACACTTCTTTAAAACACTATTTACAAGACACTGCACTGCTTCCAAGAAGTCCAGGCTCAACCTTCTACTCAGCAGTCACCTCTTCTCTCTGGCTCTCCATCGCGGCCGCCTCTCTGTCGATCAACACCCTCCTCCACTCCGGAAGAGGCGCTGGCTGGTGACTCTTGACCTCCTCCTCCTTCATGGCTAGAACCATTGTTGCCAAGAGAAGCACAACGGTTATGGCCTGCGCATACATACGGGCCTGGACCAACTTTTGGGGCGCCGTCATGATCTTGTCCCGGTTAACAAGCTTCCACGAGCCATACATGGAGGCGGCCCAGGAAGCCAAGATGATCTTATACTTGTGCGTGCTGAGCAGCGTGACGATCCTGTCGGAGGCTGGCATGTTTTTCCACTCGCGATATTGCTCCAAGACCTGCTTGTTGGTGTGGCCCGCCGAGTACATTTTCTTGTCGAATTCCAACGAGCCGTCGTCCGCATAAAACGCTGCGAGCGAGATCGTGGGCATGATGAGCACGCACGCTTTGATGGACGTGTTGAACTTGGCAAACCGTGCCGGGTGTCTTGTTTTCAAGTACGCAAAGAGACCGGCCGAAATGATGGACCCATAGAACATGCCGCGGAAGCCCTCAGCCATCACATGAGCTGCGTGTGCTTCTTTTTCTTCTCTGTCGATGATCTTCATGTTTGGATCCTACTGTTTTATGGAAAAGAATGCTACAAGAGGAGCCAGGTTCGAGGCTCTTATATGCGGGTTGTCCGCCACGGTTTCCGGGGTGCACGGAGATGCAGAGAGTGCAGAGGAGTCCAATGAGAGTGCAGTGAGTGCAGAGACTGCGGTGACTATGAGAAGTTTGAAAGGGCAGGCAGAGAGCGTGCGCATACAAGGTGTATTGCCAGAAGTCGTTGAAAAATGATGCTTTTTCGGCGAGGTGCTTGACACTTGACCTGGTTTCCTGCTGGGTGCCGCACGGAAGCTTTTTAGAAAAGATTCGTGTTGGAAGATGAGAGTCGGTCTGAGCTCGGTAGTTCCATTGGCCTGCGGGAACTTGCTGGGCTCATAACCCGGGCCCGGCGCCGCTCAGTCATTTCGCGGCACGCTTATTGTCCTGATCATAGCCCGTAAACACGAACAATAAGTACAATTCTTGGGGCAGAGATTCTGACTAATACGGCGCGGAGCGGGCCATTTTTGTCTTTTGCTGTTCCGTGTCACATGTGCTCTCGATGGAATTTTGGAAGTCAGTTGAGGCTTTGTAAGGTAGCCGGCTCATCTGGTGTAGCCAGTTTGGTACAGTTCATCCAGTGCAGACCATGCCGGGCAGTATTCCAAGAACACCTGTCACGAGTAAGCTGACCATAACTGGGTCAGTTTGCCGAGGTCGCCAATTCTGCGCGACGTCATCAAATACAAAAATTATTTGTAATCAGCTTGTCGCTTCTGCCGCGTGCTATAAGCGTCCAAGGCGAGGTATTATATGCGGCAATCATTGGCATGGGAATTAATTGACATTGGTCATTTTTGTATTCATCTTTAGCCTCGCTTGTGCAAGTACGTTTGCAGACACAACGTGAAGAAAAATTGGAACGTCATGTCTATCAGTTTCAGCATCAATTCGAGTCGGAATTGCTGAGTTCGGCTTGCATTTGCTTGATGTACATTTAAGTCAGTCTGCGATACCCAATTTTTGATTTCCTTTTTTATGTTGCTTGAGCGTTGATGCACCGAACGAGAGCGTGACTGAAGCACTCGTGGGACTGACAGTAGAACAGTACATTGATGCTCGGCTCTGTGACGACAGTGCTGGTTAATACAGTCAGTCAAATAATTCGAGTGCTGTTCGAAAGCAAAACTGCCCGAGTTCCGATGGTCGTCTGAAGCAACAAAACTTGCCATTGGGCTATAGGTCAAACCAGCTGGTAAATATTAGCTCGACCCCAAGAAAGAAACACCGGTGATTAGCTGTTTTTGATCAGAGACCATGAAATTGAAGAAAAGACAGCGTTGATGGTATGAAAAGGTGGTGTGCAAGCGAATGGGCCAAATTGGCATTTTTTTGGCGTTAATCCATCCTATCACGAATACATACGAGTAATAGGCTCGAAGCTAGAGCCTTGTTTATTAATTACTCCACGAAAACAGTCCCAATTTCAAAGCATATTCTTGGATGTTTGAACTCGCCTCAGCCTGTACGTACCATCTTGTACCCTTACCAGTCCTGAATCGGATCCGGAACAGATCCTCGAGCAGGATATATCTCGGAAGCTGATACGCTGGTTTGCGGATTACCAAACAATGGCTACGTCTTGGGAACCCTTGAAGAGACTATGTGAAATTCCAGACTAAATGAAACTGGCTGCCATGCCGTATACTCCGGCTGCTCTGGAGACACCAGACAACGATGTACTCTAAAGTGAAGCTTTCTATAGATGGACAGTGTTAGTGATAGCTTGATCAAGAAACATATTTGGTATTCAATGTGATTCGGAAGGCTGTCGGGAAAATCTCGAAATTAATGATCAATTAAATGCGAGCAGCAGGGTTCCTCCAATGAATTTCTTCTTCCGAATGATCTTTGGGCTAGTCAGCCACCGGACGTTTTGATTCCTTGCTTGGCTCGTGAAAGTTTTGTATTTCTACTCACGCTACTTTCCACTTCCGATAGTCTTTACTTTTGCTACTTCTCAGTAAATCACTGACTACTTTCTACTTTCCACCTCTGCTGTCTATCACACTTGCTCTTTTTTACTATACCGGTTTCCACTGTATGTTTTCACTTTAAAACTCTGCATTTTGCTACTTTCTACCTTCCACTGCTGCTGTCTCTCACTCTTGCTGATTTCCACTTTATCACTTTCCACTACATCATTACTTTATTGCTCTCTGCTTTCACTGTTTCTATTGTCCACTTTTGACACACGTCACTTTCACTATTTTCTCCTCTATCACTTTCCACTATATCACTTTCCACTATATCACTTTCCACTACATCACTTTCCACGACATGATTTTCCACTACATCACTTTCCACTACATCACTTTCCACTACATCACTTTCCACTACATCACTTTCCACTACATCACTTTCCACTACATCACTTTCCACTACATCACTTTCACTTTATTACTCTCTGCTTTCACTGATACTCGTCACTCTCACTACTTTCCCCGTCATCACCTTTTTTAACATCTTCACTTCATCGCTCTTCTTTACTGCTCCTTGCCCTGCCTTTCGACCCTAAGGCTCGTGTTGGCTGCGGGCCCCCACATGCCCCAAACCTGGCCCTAGAACCGCGCGAATGCCGCGCCAATAAATGTCCCAACGGTCCCCAGACACCCTAATAACCCCATCATCTTCCGCCAAAAACAGCCGAAATCATAGAAAGTCACAAACATTCACAGACTCACAGCCCCCATAACCCCACAAAAACCACTAAAACCACAAAAACCACAAAGAGCACAAAAAAAAGAGGTGGCCCCAAAAAGCATCACCTGCCGAACCCGTTGCCGCGCCTCGGGCCTGCCCTCCAAATTCGCGGTCTGGGGTGGTTCTCACGAAGTAAACATGTTCGGCACTAACCACAAATGTTCTTCCTAACTAAACATGCTTGGATGGATCATACGAGTCTGGGCAAATCACATAGACTCTGGGCCACATGCATTCCAGCCGGCCCCAGACGTCATACTTTTTCTGTTTTCCCCTGCCGCCCGCCGTCGGCCTGGGCTGGCCCAGCTGGCCTGCACGTGGCCCTGGGGCTCACCACACCATCAACTCCACGCACCACAAACCAGCACCTACTACCCCGTCCTCCTTCTTAGCCCGCCTATTCCAGGCCGCCGCCAGTGACATTCTCCGAGCTGCCGCCCGTAAAGTGCGCCCCCTAGAATTAGCCGCCGGCCCCCGCCCCCTTTTTGTGTCTGCAGGCCCTTTGGACGTTTTTCTGCTTGTTTTCTTTGTATCGGCCCGCCGCGTCGCACCCGCCGGCCCCAGCACCGCGACCACTGCGAAACACCCTGGGACCTCCCATCCGAGCACCCTCTGCGACGCCCCAAGTGCACGCCTGAGCACGCCGAAACGTACCAAAACGCCAAAGAAACACCACAAACACAAACATCACACAGAGAAACGGACAAAAAACACAAACACAAACAGCAACAAACAACAACAAGTAGCTACAAACAACAACAAGTAGCTACAAACAACAACAAACGGCCACACACGCTAGACCGGCCATAAACCCTGGACCGGCCATAAACCCTGGACCGGCCACTAGAACGCCCATACACGCTGAAACGCCCGGAACAGCCTGCGCCCGCAGAAACACACACTCTGCACGCACTCACCCCAAAAACACACCGCCGCAAACCAACTACATGTCCAACCGCACCACCCGCCACAACGCCTCGCCGTCCCCCGCGGGCCCCCACGCACTCTTCATGGAAACGCCCCGCTCGCCGTCCCGCTCGACCCGCAGCCTATCGCCGCCCAAGCCGGGCGCGGCCGGGCCCACGTACCCGGCGTCAGCGCTGCCCCGGCGCCGCACCAACGCACGCTCCATGTTCGGCGACCGGTACATCCCCAACCGCACGGGCATCGACCTCCAGGCGGCGTTCAGCTTGTCCAACCAGGATGTGGTGCCAGACCTCCGCAACCGCCGCGGCCTGCACCGCCATGCGCACACGGGACCCGCCGACGGCGCGGCCAACGAGATTGAGCTCCGCAAGGAGGAGGAGGCCAACCGCAACTTCTCCAGCGTGTTGAAGGCCGAGCTCTTCGGCGACCACGTGCCCACAGCCACGGCGGACCTTTCACAGGGCCGCGACGGGCCGCCCGCCGCCGGCACAGACCTACCCGCAACCGTGCGCCCCGCCAACGCCCGCCCCACTACCATAACGGCGTCCGGGCTGGGCCGCACCACGCCGCCCCCGGTGGATCCCGCTGCTGCGGGCACGCCGCGCCTGAAGACAAACTTGTTCACGTACCAGCTGCCTAGCAAGGCGCGGCCGGTGTCGCGGGACTTGCAGCAGGAGTTGTTCTCGCTCTCGCCGGTGCGGCAGGAGTCGCAGCGGTTCTTGCTCAGCCCGCAGAAGAAGCCCCGGCTGATCTCTAAGGTGCCGTACCGCGTGCTCGACGCACCAGACTTGTCCGACGACTTCTACCTCAACTTGGTCGACTGGGGCTCGCAGGACGTGTTGGCCGTCGGCTTGGGCGACTCCGTGTACCTCTGGGACGGGCTGACGCAGCTGGTGGAGCGGCTCTGCGTGCTCGAAAACAAGGACAAGGTCACGTCCTTGAGCTGGATCGGCGCCGGCACCCACTTGGCCCTAGGCACGCTGCGCGGCTTGGTCGAGATCTGGGACGCCACCAAGATGAAGTGCGTGCGCACCATGACGGGCCACAAGCTCCGCGTCAGCGCCTTGGCCTGGAACGAACACGTTCTCTCCAGCGGCTCCCGTGACCGCACCATCTACAACCGGGACGTCAGGGTGCAAAGCCACTACATCAACAGCTTCCACTCGCACAAGCAGGAGGTCTGCGGCTTGAGTTGGAACGTCGAGGAGAACAAGTTGGCCAGCGGCGGCAATGACAACAACCTATTCATCTGGGATGCTTTGAACACCAAGCCGCTCCACCTGTTCACGGAGCACAACGCCGCCGTCAAAGCCATCGCCTGGTCGCCGCACCAGCGCGGCATTTTGGCCTCGGGCGGCGGAACCGCAGACAAGACAATCAAAGTGTGGAACACACTCACGGGGAACCGTGTGCACAACGTGGAGACGGGCTCACAGGTATGCAATTTGATCTGGTCGAAAAACTCCAATGAAATTGTCTCGACGCACGGCTTTTCGCGCAACCAGATCATCGTGTGGAAGTACCCGTCCATGCAGCAGATTGCCCAGTTGAGGGGCCACACGTACCGTGTGCTCTACTTGTCGTTATCTCCCGACGGAGAGACGATCGTCACCGGCGCAGGAGACGAGACACTACGATTCTGGAACGTTTTTGAGAAAAACAGGAACAACGAGCCGGCTTCGTCTGTGCTCATGGACGCTTTCCTGCAGTTGAGATAGAGGTCAAGATCCATGACTGCGGGCCCGGTTGCTCAGTCTTGGCGAGATTATTTTCAGTTCAGCTTAACAAGCAGTATATTGTAATATTAAGAGATGTTTTCGAGGGCGCGTGCAGCGGTGCGCGTCCGTATGTGTGGTGGAAGATTAATCGCCAGTGAGGAGCCCAATTGTTTTAAAAACCTGGTGCATCGTGGCACAGGAGTCATAATGCTTTTGTATCGTCTTCACAACAGATTCGCCACGCCTACAACCCCGCACTTGCGGGGCCAGAGAAATTGCTCGAATCAGAGAATGGGGACGAGCGGAGTAGACAATCAGGGTCAGGCACAGCAAAATGAGCAGTGAATCGATGGCCGAGAGGCAACCAACTGTCCCAGAGAGAATATTAAGCTCCGCAAGAGCAAATGGCGTCACGTGCACGACCGGCCATAATTCCAATGGTCACACGAGGATGAGATTCATCCCGTCTATTACGAAGCTTAGTAAGCAAAGAAGGATTGCAGTGAGCAACGAAATATCCGAGCCGTGTGTTATCTTTCTAGGGGCCAGTTACGATAGACACCGTGACTCATCTGAGCCTGTATCTCACAAATGCCTCCCACCATAACTACTAATTGGGCGACGCTGACAAAGAAAACAACATATACTTCTGTACCAGGCCTCACAACCGTGGCCCGAAACGCTCACGGTCAATACTTAGAACCATGAACGCAGGCGGCGAGAAACCTGTTTAATTTTTCTAGGAGGACACCACAGCTTATCTCGCAAAGGCCGCGGTTGCACTATCCCAGATCGGGCGCTGATTTCGCGCATGCTTCCCCATTGGGCGTGAGGTGGCGATTTACGAGCTAAGACAATCAGAAAAAAACAGTGACACATATGGCCCGTCGTGTGAGATGAATTAGAGTTTTTCACAAAACACGAGCTTTGGAACGAGGGGGGCCAGCTGGCAGAAAACAAAAGAAAAAGGCGCGTGGGCGGGCACCGCAAACAACAAGAGCCCGCCTCCCTGGCGCCTGTCCATTGTTTTGGTGAAAAAGGTGGAGTATTCTCCATATCGATAATGGCTCAAAACGTACTGCGATCTGCCGCGGCGTTCGGTAAATCTCAAGCGACAATGCAGACTGCTATAGCATATTTGACCGCGCGCAGCCGCCAATACCCGCGTGCTCGTTAAAGGAACACCAAAAGAACCGGGAGAAAAGGCAAAAGAAGCACGGGAAAAAAGGAAGCAAAAACTGCGTGCCACAGCGGGCCGCCCGCACCGGGTAATGGCCACGCAGCACATGGCAGCGCCCCCAGACACTGCAAAAACAGCGTGTCTAGATCCCGGTCCTGCACACAGATGTCGGCCGAAAACGGCAACGCGGACCCCATGCGGCCCGGCCCCACGGTGAGAGAATCTCTGCGGTAACTCGGGCAGGCGGTCGCGGTTTATAAAGAGCCGGCTCCCCCCAAACGCGGCTTGGCGCCAGAGCTCTTTTTTTAACGGGACTTGCAACAACCACACTCCTAAACACCACACTCCCAAACACGACAGCCTTCCACTGCGCAGCACTTTCGGAAGCAAGCACGTTGAGCACAAACACAAAAGTACAGTCCCGCAAAAACCGCCTTCTTTTCGGCCCGGAGCTTTGTGACCTTTCTCCGCTACCCCACCACACCCAGACACCCAGACACCATGACCAAGCCTTTCGCCAAAGACATGTCCCACCACTTGAGTGCCGAGTCCAAGAGCCGCAAGGAGCTCAACCTCAAGAATGCATTCAAGTACTTCAACCAGCCCGGCATGACGTTCCTCGGCGGCGGGTTGCCGCTTTCGGACTACTTCCCCTTTGAGAAGATCACTGCCGACGTGCCCCTGGCGCCCTTCCCTAATGGCTGCGGTGCCCGCGTCACCGAGCAAGACAAAACCGTCGTGGAGGTGCACAAACGCAAGGCCGACAACGACCCTGCGGCCAAGGACGTCGAGTTGGCGCGCTCCTTGCAGTACGGCTACACCGAGGGCCACACGGAGCTCGTGGACTTCTTGAAGGAGCACACGGACCGCATCCACCGCGTGCCCTACGAGGACTGGGACGTGGTGACCAACGTGGGCAACACGCAGGCGTGGGACGCGTGCTTGCGCAACTTCACCACCAAGGGCGACGTGATCTTGGTGGAGGACCACACCTTCTCCTCGGCCATTGAGGCCGCCTACGCGCAAGGCGTGACCACCTTCCCCATCACCATGGACACCGAGGGCATTGTGCCCGAGGCTTTGGAGCAGCTCATGGACAACTGGGTGGGCGCCAAGCCCCGCATGCTCTACACGATCTGCACGGGCCAGAACCCCACGGGCTCGTGCCTCAGCGCCGAGCGCCGGCGCGCCGTGTACGCGGTGGCCCAGAAGCACGACCTTCTCATTGTCGAGGACGAGCCCTACTACTTCTTGCAGATGGAGCCATACACCAAGGACGTGGAGGCGCGCGCCTCCAGGCACGTGCACGGCCACGACGACTTCGTGCGCGCCATGGTGCCTTCCTTCCTCTCCATGGACGTCGATGGGCGCGTGCTCCGCTTGGACTCGGTGCTGAAGACCATTGCGCCCGGTGCGCGCTTGGGCTGGGTCGTGGGCCAGAAGAAGCTCTTGGAGCGGTTCGTGCGCTTGCACGAGCTGACCATCCAGAACACCTCCGGCTTCACCCAGTCGCTCTTGAACGGCTTGTTCCAGCGCTGGGGACAGGGCGGCTACTTGGACTGGTTGATTGGCATCCGTGGCGAGTACACGCACAAGCGTGATGTCGCCATCGACGCCTTGTACAAGTACTTCCCACAGGAAGTGGTGACTATCTTACCACCTGTTGCGGGCATGTTCTTTGTCGTGCACCTCGACGCCAGCAAGCACCCCAGGTTTGCAGAGTTGGGCAGCGACCCGGTGGCCGTGGAGACCAGCATCTATGAGGCTGCCTTGGAGCATGGGTGCTTGATGATTCCAGGCTCGTGGTTCAAGGCCGAGGGTCAAACCACGCCACCACAGCCATCTGTGTCCACGGACGAGCTGCTCAAGAACAGCATTTTCTTCCGTGGCACGTACGCGGCCGTGCCTTTGGACCAATTGGTGATTGGCTTGGAGAAGTTTGGCAAGGCCGTCAAGGCAGAGTACAACTTGTGAGCGTCCAACCTAGATGCGGCGCGGCACGGTTTTTTGGGCCGGCGGACGTGCTGAGAAAATACAAATACATTCGGAGATTGTTGAAATAATAGACCAAACACTCATGTTGTCTAGGACATTGCGACGTGTGTGTGGAGCCAGCCTGCAGGGCATGCCGATATATATAGTAATAGATCCATACTCTGACTTGATCTGGGTGAGTGTCCTTGGCGGCCATCTATGGAGACATCGAGGTGATCGACCATGAGCGAGAAATCCGGTTTTGTGATTTTGTAAGTTTCTGGATTCCTCAGTGTCGCTCTCATGTGGTTCCGTAGTGTTTTTCCGCCAACCCCCTGGTTCCATAATCCCCAGCAATTTCGAACGTTTGAAAAGGTCTTCCTTTTCTTTTCAATCTCTAAGTTGCGCTTTTGGGGATCTTTGAGAGCTTTAGCTTCCTTATACTTATCATTTCGTCTCCAAACCTCTGGAGCACCTGCAATGCGTTTTTGGCAGCTCATGAATATAAAAAAAAAATCGGCTCAACACGTGCTTTTCTAAGGATCTATAATTTTTTCAAGGAGTGTGACATTGGAAGGAACTGCCAGAGGTTTTGCACCCAATTAATGCGTGACAACAGGAGACAAGAAATAACAGACTCTCGGCAAAAAAATCAAGACAATCGGCATTTCACTGAGCATTTTGATGATTTATTGAGCGAGTGGACCCCTTTGAGTGAAACATTAGAGAAGATAAGAATGCCGGAGACTTTTATTATTGCGCCTTGTCTTTGCATCCTTCCATACTACAATACAAGCACCCAAGCTATTGCAAGCATACCCTGTTACTGCTACTAGTACGCGAAAGCAACAGGTGCCAGTTCAAGTCTTCCTTTTTGAAATGGATTAACGATCGGATGTTTTGGTCTGGCTTTTAGTATTTGTGTATGAAAAGCGACAATCAAACATAGAAGGTTATGCCAAGTGTCCTTGCAGATGTAAGTTTCGAGATTTCGGGAACATCACGTGCTTTCTGATATATCTGTTTCCATCCATCGATGTATCTTGTGGGTTCAATGAGTCAAGTCAAAGGTATGTCAACATGCACGCATAATAAAAGTATGCATTGACTGGCCACACATGACCAAAGCACAACAATTTTCTCGGATTCTTTGACTGCGAAGAGCGTGTTCATGGGTTCGAGAAACAGAGGCTGCTTTTGATTAAGACGAGAGGTTAGTTTGAGTGAACTTGAAGAAACTAATATTGCAATAGTACTAATGTTTATACTTATATTCTCATACATGCTGTTCTCTCGATGGGGTTCATAAAAATAGATGATTCTCTTTTCAGAGATGTTCATATCAGGACAAAAACATGCACAACTCTTTTGGAAATGTGCTGCTCTAGGGCGTCAAGGACTTGACATCTTGCTTCTATATTTTTGGATTTTTTGTTTGATAGATTATTACATATTAGACAGCGCATTTTATTGCAGTGTTCAGTGCAAGACGCTCGCAATGAAGCGCAGTACGTTGCACCCACATCACAATTAAATGTAGCCAAGCTATAGAGAATTAAAATGAGCTTATTCATTTACTTGAGTTTGCCAGCGCTTTCTGCCATGCCCACATCAAATGACAGGGCAAAAACCCCTGCCATGTACCTGTATACAGGGTGTCTGGGAATGGGGCCGTGGGCCAAGTGTTTCTTGTCACAGCTCCCATGTAGCGTGCTTTCTTATTTTCAGCCGGTGTGCTATGACCATGTAGGACATTTTTCTACTTTTGGTCATTAATCTTGTCTTTTTACCTTTTATTCGTTGTTTTTGAGCGTGTTTCTTGTCATAATTCAAGCGCAAGTGCGCCCGGCCCTGGCTAACTACAGGCGCAGAAACACCATTGAACTCAGCCAAAGACACCATCAATACCTGTCAAAAGAGCACCCATCAGCGCAACTCCGCCTGTACCCTCTACTAGCCTTAAACACGTCTGAAACACTGCTGACACGCGCCGGCCAGTCTATCCACAGGTTGCACCCACTCGGCGCACCATGAAAATCCTAAAGCTTCCGTGGCTCTCTCATCGAGGTATGTATTGAGGCGTGCCCCGGGCCTAAAAGAGGACCTAGACCTGGCGGACTCCGAAATATTCGAAATTTGTTTCTTTATGGTATTTGGTTTTGCATTGCTGTGCCATTGTTGCATCGGCGACCATAATTATGCAATCACTATGAGATCGAAGTACCATGACTATGCAGCTCCAAGGGAGCATCAGATCCAATACTGCCGCCGAGATATGATATCATATCACCTTCAAGTTTTACCCAACCTTGGTTTATTGTCAGGTCATTGTTGGGCCATCAGTATTGGGCATGCACCACCAGTGTGTTTTGGGTCGGCGGGCTGGCTTTATTCTTTGCCAGTTCTACAGCATGACTATGTTTTTAGCGGCACTTCGAACATCATGCCATCGTTACCGTTTCATCGTCATCATTCATGATTACATATTAGAATGGTTTGAGCATCGTTGCGACTCTGCCTTGGGGTACTTGGGCTATACCATCCTGATGTACCTTGGTGCACTTTGTGCTTGATGGCATACTTTAACGCACTGATGGCGTGTCAATATACTGATTATGGACTTATTCTTGTGATGACTCTGGCTTACCATGGCTGGATAATGCAGTGCAATCTCGATGGCATGGATTCTGGTGCCATTGGTGAGCTGCTGACGTATTCTGGTCACTGGTGAAGTCATAAAGTGAACTGATGGTGTATTATAGTTAACTGGTGGTGTCCTATGGTCAACTGGTGGTGTCCTATGGTCAACTGGTGGTGTCCTATGGTCAACTGCTGATGCACTATGGTCAACTGGCTAATACCTATAGTAAGCCAGTAATGTCCTATGGTCAACTGCTGATTCACTATGGTCACTGCTGATTCACTATGGTCACTGCTGACTCACTATGGCCACTGCTGACTCACTATGGCCACTGCTGATCCACTATGGTCAACTGGTTATCACTATGGTCAACTGGTGGTGTACTATGGCTGATATACTATGGTCACTGCAGATGGACTATGGCTGATGCACTATTGCAGACACACGATGGCCACTGCCGCCCCAACAGCTCCCATAGTGCTCGCCCATTGCTCCGGTGGTCCCACCACGTACTATCTATAGACCCGTGTGCCCACCATACCGTCCCCATCTCTCCCTCGCCCCTCTCTACTAACCCACAGCCGAAAACAAAACCCTCGAGTGCTACGCACTAGACATCAACAGCGCCGGGTCCAAATTGGCGTCCGGCGGCCTCGACGGCAAGGTCAAAGTATGGGACCTCGCGCAGATCCTCCAGCACGCCGACTCCTCCGACACGCCCGGCCCGGCGCCGGAGCGCCGGGCGCCCTTGGCGTCCATGAACAGGCACAACGGCGTGGTCACGTGCGTCAAGTTCTCGCCCGACGGGCGGTTCTTGGCGTCCGGCTCCGACGACAAAATCGTCCTCATCTGGGAAAAGGACGAAGAGCTGGCGCCGCGCCCCAAGCAGTTCGGCGAGACCGAGCCCGACGCCGAGCACTGGACCGTGCGGCGCCGGCTCGTGGCCCACGACAACGACGTCCAGGATATCTGCTGGGCGCCCGACGCGCTGCTCCTCATCACCGTGGGCCTCGACCGGTCCATCATCATCTGGCACGGCGCCACGTTCGAGCGCATCAAGCGCTACGACCTCCACCAGTCCATGGTCAAGGGCGTGGTGTTCGACCCCGCCAACAAGTTCTTCGCCACGGCGTCCGACGACCGGTCCGTGCGCATCTTCCGCTACTACAAGAAGCCGCACGGCGCGTCCGCGGCCACGCACGAGTTCCAGATGGAGCAGGTGGTGGTGGACGCGTTCCGCAAGTCGCCGCTCACGCTGTACTTCCGGCGCATGCTGTGGCTGCCGGACGGGCAGCACCTCGCGGTGCCCAACGCCACCAACGGGCCCGTGTCGTCCGTGGTGGTGATCAACCGCGGCACCTGGGCCACGGACGTGTCGCTCATTGGCCACGAGGCGCCGTGCGAGGTGTGTGCGTTTGCGCCGGTGCTTTTCTGCGTGCCGGGCGGCGACACGCACACCACCATCTTGGCGACGGGCGGGCAGGACCGCACGCTTGCGGTGTGGAGCACGGGCTTGTCCAAGCCGTTGGTGGTGGCGCACGACATTGCGCAGAAGCCCATCACGGACATGGCCTGGACGCCGGACGGGCAGGCGCTCTTCGTCAGCTCGTTGGACGGGCTGATCACGTGCGTGCGCTTTGCGCCGGCCGAGTTGGGCGAGCCGGTGGGGGCCGACGCCATTGGCCTGCTGCTCGAGCGGTACGGCGGCGACGACGCCACGGTGATGCCGGAGGGCGTGGACCTGCTCCGGCTCGAGGGGCTTGCGCGGGGCCGCCTGCTGGCGAGCGGCGGTGTTTCCGGGACGGGTGGTGTTTCCGGGACGGGTGGTGTTTTCGGGTCGGGTGGTGTTTCCAGATTGGACAGTGTTTCCAGATTGGACAATGTTTCCAAAGTAGACAACACAAGGTCTCCAGACAACGCATCCACTGCCGATCTGGCCCGACTGCGTGTTCCCCCACCACGGTTGGGAGGCGCCACGCCACGAATAGACGCAGGCGCTGCCCCCGCCCCTGCTGTGGTGCTCACCAAAACAGGCCGCAAACGTGTCGCCCCCACGCTCATCTCGACGTACGCAGGCCCGGCCGGCCCCGCGAGTCATGGCCTCGGGGCCCTGCTGCCTTTGCGGGCCACGGCGCCCCTGGAAGTGGCCTTCAAAATCTCCGCCAAGCTCTCGCAAACGCTGTACGTGCTCCCGAAGAACGGTCTCCAGTCCGCTGTGCATGGGCGCCGCCTCAACATCGACATGCCAGCCGCAGGCCCGGGCATCACAGATCCGGACAACGACAACGAGGACATGGGCTTCGACGCGCCCAACTCCGCCCTGCTCCAGCCGCTCACCGCTGCGGCCATGCGTCTGAAAATCAAGAAGTTCCGCAAGCAGCGCATGGGCCACCGGTACCCGACACCATTCAAGGCCGTCTCCGACTTGCCAGGCATCTTGTTCAGCAACCAGGCCATCATGAACGCCGACCTCGCAAAGCTTGTGCAGGCAGACCAGGTCAACGTGGCCGACACGGAGCTCGTGAGCACGTCCTCGTTGGATTCCGTGGATGAAAGCATGTATTTTCGCGTGATTGTTGCTGCCACCACACACGAGCTCCCAGGCCATGATGATAGTGAGAGGCCTCGTCTTGCAGATGCGTTGACGGTTGGCGGTGGTGGGGATTTTCAGAGTGGCCATGGGAGGGTGCGAGGTGATGCTGAAACGACGCCGGGTCATGATGAAACGACGCCGGGTCATGCTGAAAAGACGCCGGGTCATGCTGAAAAAGTGCTGGGCAGCGTCGTGAACGCCCGTGCCAGTGCCAATCCGACCCTGGCCAATGCCACAGACTCATCCCATCATTCTTCACACACCCGGTCCATCATCGAGATCCGCAACGGCCCGCCGTGGCCGGAGGACGACGAGGTCCTAAACACAGATCCCGTCCAGCGCACGGATTTCCAGGACCCGACTCAAGTCATTGTCACCTGCTCAGACAGGGCGCAGCTGCGCAGCTACGCGCTCTACTTTCCTTTCAAAATCCAGCATGCCGTGCCGGTGTTGTTGGACCGTGTGCTCGCTTACTACGTCTTGATCTCCTTCGAGGGCACCACGCAGATCATCCGTGCCAATACGGGCAGCTACTTTCTCCCCTGCTTCGAGTTGGGTGCCAACGTCGTGGCGCTGAGGCAGAAGGGGCGCTTTTTCATGGTGCTCACTAGCCTTGGCCAGCTTTTCTGCTGGAAATTCCCGGCACTACGCAGCGGACGCTCTCGCCTCGAGAAGGTCTATAGTGGTGTTTCTGTGGCCCCCGCGGTGAATGCAGAGACCTTTGTGCCAAGCGCCGCTTCCCAACAAGATGCCGATGCCCGGAAGGACTCCAAGACGCAGCCAGCACAGGTTCTTGTGGACAACATCAGTGCTCTTGAGATCGACGAGCACGACGGCCTGCCCATCATCGTCATGCAGAGAACTAGTTGCGTCTACCTGTACTCTGTTGCATTGATGGTGTGGACAAAGGTTTTAGACCCATGGTATCTTCTCGCTTACGAAAAGCAAGAACTCGCGACCATGACTGTGCCTACTTTGAACAGGCAGGTATTTGCGTCTGTTGCTGACCTGAAGCTCGAGAGCATCCAGCGCGGCGAAGCCGGCAGCTACAAATTTGACGAGACAAACTCCGAGTTGAAGTGTAGCATGCGAACAAGGTTTGAGGAGCTTGCGGCCTTATCGTGCTGATAGACGGTTGCGTGCGGCTGGATGAAGACCGTGTATGGATTTTGGATGGAGACCGTACATGGAGAATGGATGGAGACCATTCAATCTTATGGATTATGGATGGAATCCATGCATGATTATGGAGATACTATGCATGATTATGGAGAGACTATGCATGGAGTATGGATGGAGACTACGCATGGATCATGGATGAAAAGGGGACAATGGAAATGATGTTTATTGGTTAATACATGGGCCATGGACGTGCAATAGGCATGGGCCCCATGGTCATGGAGGTATACAAGGGTCATCAAATGGCAACAAGGTTCAGTAATATTCGCACAAGCCACTGAAACAGCTTGAGGGCCATGTACCAGAAGACCTTAGACAACTGTGCAATGGTTAGGAACGCCTACTCAAAAACCACATTCTGTACGAGCATCGGGATTGTCTAAACTAGTTCCATGGACAACAGCATAAACATAGTCCGCGGTCGAATGAGGCGATGCAAACATGTACCGACTACAGGTGACCAGGATAACGTCTCCATACAACATATCTGCTCGCCCATCATGAAAGCCAGAAAAGGTATCAATAGCAACTGAGCGAATATTGTGCGCCTGTTTAGTCTCATTTTGCGTTCATCTTCACGTTCAGAGTTGCGCCGTCTCTTCCGTGTCAGTTGTCTTCTGGCCATTGTTCTTGCCCTCGCCAGAAACGAGCTCGGGCTTCTCAACAGCAGGCTCCAACGCGTATTTGACCAAGAAAGTCAACGATGACAAAACGCTATTCACAGCAAACATCCATACGGTGAGCCCAAGACCACCAGTGACGGTGAAGGGCAAAGCCAAAAACCACTCCACAGGGTACGGGAACACGCCTGCCGGGAAATAAAGCAACACCACTTTTCGGTACCAGTAGCGGGAAAACCAAATTGGCGCAGTGGTGAACACGGTGATGGTCAAATTCACGACCTTGCCGACGCTGGCTTTCTCCGCCGAAACCTCCTCAGTCAAAGCGCTGATTTCGCCCGATAACTTGTCGAAGGTCCGGTTCAACTTGGTCCACCGGGCATACTGGTCCTGGGCACTGATGGCCTTTCTCTCGCGGTTGACTTTCACCAACTCCTGGCGCTTGGCAGCAAGCAGCTTGAATTTCGGATGGCCCATCCGGGACGCCAGCCACGTATATATGCTCCATGCATTTTCGACAAGCGTGGACTTGCCGATGGCGCTCACAACGTGTTTCGCCAAAAGCACCGTGAATATAAATGCCAAAATTGTTGTGGGCAGGAGATCGAGAAACGACATTGTGGAGCGGGAGGTCTCTTCGCAGAGCACTTCTGAGATATGGTGAGAGTGAGCAATACTCGGTATTGCATTTCTCACCAGAGGCCCGGCAAGAAACACGGCCCACGAGCACACCAAAAAACGCCAGTTTCCAGAATCATCCACCCGCTTGAGTCGGATGCCCGGGTCGCCCGTTTTTTGAAAAAGACACAATTCACGAAACCGGGACGTTTGGTTTCATGCCCCGTGGGTCTAGAGGAGAGAGCCAAGGTGGAAGAGGTCACGTGCCGGGCGCCTCGCCCTACACCATCTCTGGAAGATAAATCGTGGGCAAAAAAACCCCAGAATCGTCTGGACGTCCAACACTCTGCCGAAAAAAAACCTCTCGTGGCTGGACACGCACTATCGGTGGAACGCAGCGCAACGATATTCCCTCCTGCCAATACAAAAGTCGGCCAACTCAGCAGTACCTGGTCTCTCGAAAGCGCAGAGCCCACAATACCCTCATCGTAAAAAATCCAAAGACATGTCCACCGATGCCGAGGGCGACTACGTGCCGTGGATCCAGCAGTTTTGCGAGAGCTTCGGCCACGACTACTTCGTTCAGGTGGCCCAGGAGTTCATCGAAGACGACTTCAACTTGACCGGGTTGTCGCTGCAGGTGCCTTACTATAGAGAGGCACTCTACACGATCCTTGACTACCAGGTAGAAACCGCAGAGCACTCTGCAGCGGGCCAGGCTGGCGAGCCGCGAGCACTGGGGTCCGGCGGCAAGCGCCAGGACTTGCCCAACAAGGTGTTGCTCTCGCACCTGGCGGAGCTTTTATACGGGCTCATCCACGCCCGATACATCATCTCAAAGCCAGGCTTGACGGCCATGGCCACCAAGTTCGAGCACCTGGAGTTCGGCTACTGCCCACGCTACCAGTGTGACAGCATGCACTTGGTGCCTGTGGGCGCCACCGACGTGCCGGGCCAGGAGACCGTGCGGCTCTACTGCCCATGCTGCAACGACATCTACTTGCCCCTGAGCTCGCGGTACTTGAACATCGACGGCGCGTTTTTCGGCACCACGTTCCCCGGCTTGTTGGTGAAGATGTTCCCCGAGATCGAGCATCAGTGCAAGAACCGCATCAAGCGCGTGAATCCCGACCAGACGGGCATACGATTGTTTGGCTTCCGTGTGCACGAGTCCAGCGCCACGGGCCCACGCATGCGCTGGTTGAGGCAGTTCCCGCAGACCGACGACGAGAAGCGCGAGTTTGAAATGTGTGAGTTGGCCATGCCCGCGATCACGGCCAGCGACGTGGATGTGGAAGAGTCGGGCAACAGCGAAGATGGAGACTCCGACGATGACAAGACCATGGCCAGCGAGGACAATTGATGGGGTGAGGGAACATACCGTGGAGGGGTGAAGTTGTTTCGGGCGTTTTGCTGTTTTGGCGTTTTGCTGTTTTGGCGGTTTGGCGTTTTGGCGTTTTGGCGTTTTGTTGTTCTGCTGTTTTGTTGTTCTGCTGTTTTGTTGTTTTGCTGTTTGCTGTATGCTGCCTGCTGCCTCGCTGTTTTATGCGTTTCGGTTGTTGGCTGATGGCGGCGTTGAGTGCTCAAGTGCGCGGGACGACCATCTTGGCGAACTGATTCAACCATTGACCCCTGTAATATGAGCAGGCGGTCTTTCCGTGGCGCGCCGCTGTCAACATGAAGGCTCCGAGGCTAGGACCGTGCTGCAACAGGAGGAAGGACGTCCGCGCAGCAGGGGAATTCATTGTTTTTGGTATTGTCATATTTATACACTCAGCCACGCTAGTGGGTCAAGAGAACCGGCTTGCCTGGCTCCCAGTCCTTGATGCCGTTCGCTATGTTGACCCAGTACTTCAACTCGATTGTCTCGATAATAAACGCCTCCCACGGAACAGGCGTCTGCTTGAGCAACGCGTCCAAGCTCTGCTCAGACTGCTCGATCCGCGCCGTGTTCTCCTCTTCCAACGCCGCGAGGTCGGCCTCGGACGTCGCCGACTCCAACGCCTCGTGGGCCTCCAAAACCGTCATTAGGAGCGCTTTGTAGTCCAACGAGTGCTCCTGCGACGCCGCCTGCACGTTGGCGATGAACTGCTTCAGCACGTCGTCCTTGGTGATGTCGAGTTTCTCCGGGTGCTGGAGCTCTACGATGTACGCCGCCCGTGTATAAGGGTTTCGGAGCGTGGCGTAGGCGTGGTTGATTGCCGAGGAGGCGCCGTCGTTCACAGAACCAGCGGTCGTGTTCGGCCCAAACCCGGCCGCCCCCATTACCACGTCTGGGTGGTTCTGGCCCTGGAGCGCCCGGTACTCCCGGCGCAACAGTCTCAAGTTCACCTGGAAAGGATCCTTGGGCGGGCCGCCGGCGGGAAACAGCTTCGGGAAAAGCCGGAATAGCGTGTCCTGCGTGTGCATGGCCCGCCGGGTAAACCCGGGAGCGGCCAACACGCGATTTCTGGCCAAAAACATATATACAAAAGAGAAGTTGTGTGGAAAAGAAAGTAGTAGGTAGCACGAAACGGCGGTTGTATGAGGGGCACGCAACGGCTGCAACGCTGTGTGCAGGCCCGGCGCGGCCCCCCGCCCCCATACAACCGCCGTTGGGAAAGATGCGGCTTGTAGTGGAGAGACTTGGATAATGTGAATATATTGCTATTGTTGGGCTGAAATTGATAGAAAAAATAGATAGAAGAAGAAGAATGGTTATCATTACCTGATATTTGCCTGGACCGTGCGTACAAAGAAGCCTTGCAAGGGCTTGTGAATACTCGTCTCTTAGGATTTAGTCAGACTCGTGAAAATCATGTTGAAACTTAAGTGTCTTTCAGAAAGGCTCTTAGACGTTTGTAATGGCTTAAAACATAGATAGCTAAAAGCATGGTAAAATCAAATCAAATCAAATCTGGAAATATGACAATCGGTATAAATTGCAAAACCTTAAACGGAATAGATCATTATCTAATGACCCCTAATAAATTAGCTTATACTATTGATGAAAATTGTGGTCTATCATAATATCAATGCGAAATACTTTCAATTTGAAGTACTTCCAATCTGAATACCACCAATATGAAATAATATCAATTTGAAATAATATCAATTTGAAATACTTTCAATTTAAAATACTTCCAATCTGAAATACTTCCAATCTGAATACCACCAATCTGAGACTGAACACCACCAATCCGAAATCCAATCTGAAACTAAACACCACCCATCAGAAAAAAAAACACCAAGCTCCGCCCCATGCCACGCCATGCAAAAAACACGCCCAGTCAAACCCCTGTTTGTTCCCCTTATTAATACCTGTATTATATACTGATGTCGAGCTGCAGAATCAGCTGAGAGTAGGTATAAGTGCCCAATCAATCAATTAATTTACCAACATTGTGTTTACTGGTCGAAATGAATCAATTTACCTTTTTAGGACAAATCAGATAATGATTTCAACCTAAAAAGTCAACTTGATATCCTACTTCTCATGGTAAAATTGTAAAGTTTCTTCTGAAATTTGTATACCACGAATATTGCAGACTTCAGCTAAACATTTATATATTGAATTGGCCATATTCCCTGTTTTTATTCCTATAAGAAAACCATCAGCATATCCAACAAATCAAATTGTTTTATATCATTCTATTCTTGTCTTGTTTCTATGACATGTTTACGAATAATATTATTCGCTTTGTCAAGTTTTAATCGTCTCCTAGCTCTATCGTTATCAATTGCTTTCTATACGTAAAGCATATTCCTGTCACTTAGGAAATAAGAATTGCCAACGGGTAAGAAGTTAAATGCTATTGCTGTAATATCGCAAGAGGTGCGATACTCATGTAGATCAGTACGAGATTTATTGCACATTGCTCATTATCCGGGCAATGAAACCGATAGTCATTGTCCTAAAGATTGGCATCTCTTAGTTTCCCGTTCCACAAACCCAAAGACTAATTTATGCCTTTCAAAGGAGTATCTCAGTCACCAGGATACTGAACCTCTTCTTCCCCCAACAACTTGGTTTCGCAGCCCACAATAAAGAATGTTACACACTAATCTGAGGGGTCAATACTCGAGTCATGCGAAGCCTGCTCATAGTCTGGCCATTTTTAGGTTTGAATATTATTTTTGGTTGCAAGCCACGTGAAAAATAAATCCGTTACTTGCAATAGTGCTACTATCCACTCATGCTCATACAGACGGTCACGAATTGGTCAGATTCCATGAAACAAATTGAATTACACATGCTAGCCGCTTCATCTATAACCGGGCTCATTAAAATCTTAGCTTGCGTGTATTTCAAACAAACGTCTAAATATAATCAACGCCCGAAAGCTTTTTGATCATTCTGCAGAATAGTTGGTGGGTTTCTTTTGACTCCAATTTTCCAAACAGTACTTGGTGTGACATAGAAATTTTAGGTGAAAGCCCTTAAATCCGAGTCGGAAATTGTTCGGGGCACTCAGGCTTGCTCTTATGGCGAGCCTTTGATAAAAAGACACACCAGAGTAAGTAGTGAGAGTATCTTGCTCAGTCTCAGTGTGTTGATCGCCAGCACCGCCCTGTTTCTAGTATCGCTATCACTAGTATCGCTATCACTAGTATCGCTATCACTAGTATCGCTATCACTAGTATCGCTATCACTAGTATCGCTATTAGACCAGTCTGATTATAGCACACTTAGATCTGTAAAGTTTGGAGCGTAGCCCTAAAAGTCAGTGTTCAAATATATATGTTTCCATAGAAACCTCATACAACATGTCACCGGTCTGGCACAATAAAGGTGTATGCGCCAGGATCTGAAAAAGACACAGATCGCGTGTTTTAAGTAGCACGCCAGAACCTTCAAGAATACAGGCCAACCCTCCTAAAATGCCAGCCTAGTATGACAATAGAATGGTCCTGCTGATCTTCAGTTATTAGCCACCAGATACTACCAGGCTACATCTAAGAGTATAGACAGGGCAGTCAAATGTCATGAATAACATTGAGCCCACAAAGACCAAGCTTCTTGCTGTACACTGTTAAACATTCGCGCACCATCTTCATCAAGATAAGGCTATTAAGTATAACTCTCGCACTGTCTTTATTAAGTTAAGATGTTCGCACTGTCTTTTCAGTTAATATGTTGGTAATAACTCACAATGTCTTTATTGAGTTAATATGTTGGTAATAACTCACAATGTATTTATTGAGTTAATATGTTGGTAATAACTCGCACTGTCTTTATTAAGTTAATATGCTGGTAATAACTCGCACTGTCTTTATTGAGTTAAGATGTT